GTGGATGCTCTCATCACCGCGACCATTGAGGGAAGGAAGGTCATGCTGTACACTCAGAAAGTGAGACATTCTCTGGAAGTGGATGAACCCAACGCACTCCACCTTTGGATCACGGACAATAGCCGCACGTTTCATCTTGGACCGTTTTCTGTGGACAGTGCTGAGAATATGACGTTTGCTAACACCTTGTTGTACTCGGATGATGAGCTTTTTCTTTCACAACAGAGGGGCTTTAGAGCAGGCACAGCCGTTTCACTTGCCCGCCTGACGGAGGAGCTGAATACGATCAAGTCCGTCCTCAGTACTTGGGCACAGCTGGACGCTTCCTTCTCCGAGTCGTCCATACCCACGGCTGGTCTGGTTGGATTTCTGTCCAATACGTCGTCCGGTGGTGACACGTGGATCGACGGTTACCGTTGCATGAATGCAAGCGTTACGAAAGCAACGAAGGTCAAAAATGGTTTCAAATTCACGGGGCCTGGGTCCAGGGCAACATGGCCCGTGAACAGTCGGTGGGATATAAAACAGTACGGCTTTGTGGATTACAACTTCACTCTTGTGGCGACGGTGACCATCCACCAGGTTCCGAAGGGGAGCACTCCTCTGCTGGGTGCGAGTCTGAGGGACAGTAAGAGGACGAAGTTAATTGGCTTGTCGTACGGTGCGGGCGGTAAGTGGGAAACATTGTATGACGGGACAAAAACAGTACAGGGTGGCACTTGGGAGCCGGTGAAAGAATACCAGGTGGCGCTAATGCTGCAGGACGGCAAAAAGGGCTCCGTGTACGTGGATGGTGAGCTTGTGGGGAGCTCGGCGATGTTACCAACACCTGAGGAGCGGTGGATTGAAGTTTCATACTTCTAAATTGGGGGCGACGAGGGAGACAGCGGCAGCAATGCGACAGTGAAGGACGTCTTTCTGTACAGCCGCCCACTGAGTGTCGGCGAACTAAAAATGATCAAGAAATTTGAAGATAAAAAAGGAAGCGGTGATGGCGAAGATAAAAAAGGAATTGGTGGCGCTGAAGTTAAAAAAGGAAGCGGTGACGGTGAAGGTAAAAAAGGAAGAGGTGACGGCTCCATGCGTGAGGGTATGTCTTGGGTGCTGCTTCTGCTGGGGATGCGGGGCATTACGGCCATTTACTGAGAAATCGCAGTGAGGATTTCCTGCCTCCAGCGGGAGCTATATGTACTTCTCCACTCACCCTCCGAAATAATTGACTTTTGTGCGGATGTACCTTTTGTTTTGTATATTTTTAGTCGATTCGACTACCCCTTTCTGTCCGTGTAATTCATTATTTAAATGGCGTGCTCTCCCTCCCGGGACTGCATTGCGAGGTATTTGTTTTTGCTTTATTCCATATGCACTTTTTTTTATATATTGGAATATTTTGAGATTGGCGGGATGTCTTTGGTGTTTCCGTCGGCCGATGACACGTGCAATCGGCATTGAGCGCCACGACAATGGTGCGGTGAAAAAGGGATTTAAGATGTGCAGCAACACACTGAATGTCCCAATGAAGTGTGGGTGTTGTGTGGACACCAGGAGGTTGAACGCCTGAAACAAATATATCTTTACTTTTGCGGTAAGAATATACACGTGTTTTTTTCTTTGTTTTTTTTCGTCACGATGTTTTTCTTTTTTCTTTTTTTGTTATATTTCTATGTGTGTGGAAACTGCTTCAAGGAATCTTTTTTTTTTTTCGTTTCAATTTTCTTTTTTTTTTTGAGCGTGAAAAACTTCTTCAAGGGGACTGTTTTTTGCGTTTTGATTTCTTTTTTTTTAAGTTTTTTTTTTTGTTTCTTTAAGCGTATTGTGGGTTGCCGTGCCATCTCGAGCCTTATTGGCCTTCTCTTCTCCTCCTTGTCCGTCCTGCACCTCTGCTGCGTGTTTTTCTGTCCTTTCACGTGCGTGGCTCTCTCTCTCTTTTTTTTTTTTTTTTGCGTTGCTGTGGGTGATCCCTGCGTGGTGCGCGTGTGGCCCCAAAACAAAGTTGTCCGAGGGCACACTTGTTGGCACGATGACCGCAGCGTGTAGCTGTCACTCTGTTCTCTCGGGAGATATGCCGCGACGCCTTCACTAGTGTGTTGCTTCGGAGACAGTGCGCCGGTGGCTGTGCGATTGCCGGATGGAGGGAGAGGAGCGGGAGGGAATTGCGTGAGTGCAGCGGTCAAGGGTCGCGCTGGGTATCTCGCCGCGGAGGGGATTGCCCACCCAGCACTGCTCGTGCCGAGCACCCTCTCTCTCTCACTCCGCAGCATCTTAGCCGACGCCAGCAGCACGCAGCGAGGCAGCGGATGCCGCCACCGCCACGAGTGCGGCTGGAAGGGAACATGTCTGCTGTTGCGTTTCGAGCGGGTCACACCGTGTGGCACAGTGGCGTGCCCACAACCCCCTCGCGGAGTCCGCACACGACACCGGGCAGTGGACGCGGAGTGTTTGCGTCGTGGAGGACACCGCGGTGGAGTCCCTCTTCCCTCCGGGTGGACGGTCGGCTAATTTTCCTCTCGTTCTTACCCATGAGGTTTTTTTTTCTTTTTTAGTTTAAGAACTCTTGCTGTGTTGGGGCGCGGTTTTGGAAAACCCATCACCTTTGATGGTGGGCTTGTGCTTCCGTTCGGTCCCTCCCTTTTACCGCATTGTCGCTTTCTAAATATTTTCTGATGACGAATGGAGCTGCAGAAGACACGCTGAGGCGTTGGGCTTCATTATCGATTCATTTATTTGATTATTTTTTCTTTTTGTACCTGGTGCGGTTTGCGGTGTCTCTGATAGCCTTCCCGCATGGAGGGCTTTATTGGGGCGCTCGAGCCTTTTTGTGCGGACGGAAGGCCAAGGACGTTATCCATGCGTGGCCATTGCGCTGGAAGGAATCTTTTTTTTTTACACATTGACACGGTGCCATTCCTGCGCACCTTCTTTTTCTTTTTTACTTCTTTTGCTTTTTTTAAGGAGATACTCCCTTGGATTTGCCTCCAACGGGATATGCGCGGAGTTACACGCGTTTAAAAAACCGAGACCACGAGCCTTTTTTGGAAAGGATGCTTTATCTTTCTTCTAATTTTATTTTTTGTCCATGTTGATGTTTTTTTTTTGAGTGGAGTTCATACTTCGTGACGATCCCACGTATGGTTTGGTGCTGATCCGACCAGGGCGGACTATATCCACTGCGTCGGGGAAAGGCTTCTGGTGGATCCAACGACACGGCAGCTGGGGGAAATAATAACGGGACGGACGTTATCCCTTTGATGGTGGTCCCGCTGATGCTCCATCTGATGGAATTTCGGAGGAGGATGTGCAACATCAGTGTGCCCATCCGGCTGTTGGTTTTGGTGCAGAACGGGCGGGAGGCGATGCTGTCGTTGTGCCTGCAGGAACTCGGGAGGGTCTATGGGTGGTCCGGACGCCTGGTTGTGAGTCGTCACCCGGAAAACATCGGGTACAGCGCTGCCGTGAACATTGGGTCACGACTTGCACTCTTGCTGCCGCGCGAGGAAGTGCCTTTTGTTTTTGTGACAAACAGCGACGTAAAGTTTTCACCCGATCTCCTTCCCAACCTTCTACGCGATGTGCATGAAATGACGAGGCATGATGCCGCTCGCATGGATGAGTTGGCGGCGGAAGTGGCGAATGAGCCGAGCGAGTACAGTCCTGTTTTGCGACGGGGCTTGAGGGTGCTGCGCTCCACGGTGAACGATAGCCGATTGTCGACGTCTGCGCTGCTGCCTGACCGCATCCGTTATGCTTCTGTGAAGGAGCGTGAAAAGGCGTTTTCGAAGCATTACGGGCACTTCTGCGCGTATTACAAAAGCAGTTGTTTTGCGTCTGTTATTTTGACACGCCTGGCGATCGGCACGGTGGGATATTTTGACGAGAAATTCTACCCAGATTGAGTGGAGGATGTCGACTACAGCTTGCGTCTCCGTTTGCTTGGATTTCAGGAGCGGAATGCCTTATACGGCAAACTTCTGCATCGCGGAAGCTCGAATATTCGTTTCTCTAATAAAATGGAGCTGCCGGACGCTCTCTGGTACCGTCGCGTCAAGTCTTTGATGACGAACCAACCATATGCCATGATGAAGTGGAACCGTCCACGGGCGTGCAGTGGCGGGTACAAGGAGCCATATAACGGCATGGTCCCCGCAGACGTTTGGGTGAAGGATGAGGCACGCATACAGCGCATTCGGGCCTACGGGCATGATGAGATCAGAAGAGTTCCAAGGGTTGACTACGACAGGAGGCTTTTGTACCCTGTGAGGACTAAAGGAAGATGATTCGGCAACAAACACAAGTTTTGCTTTCTTATTTTGTTTTGCTTTAATTTTTAAAAATTTACACCTCTGTTTGGTTATTTACACGATTAATATTTAAGCGAGTACGCCGTGGATTTTAAAGAGCGCAAAAACATATATTTGACATGACAGGGGAGGAGAGGGCGCAGCGTCCAAACTTGGCAGTGTTGCCGAAGGCAGGAGAGGGAAGTAGCAAGCAGGAAAAATGAAGATGATGGATGAGGGAGAAATAAAATGGGAGGAAAGCAGAAAACAAGTCAAAAATATTGTGAGCACAACGCTGTTTCTTTTCGTGGGCGATCGACACCGCAATTGGCCACTAATTTACCCACTGAAGGTGACACCCGTTTCCGCTGGATATGCTGCGTGCATATCTGTCGGGCTCTTTGTTTGTTCTGTTGTTTTGTTTGTCTCCCGCACATTTATTTTTCCGTGCCACCTGACTCACTCGTTTATTATTTCCCTCTCTGTTTTTGTGCGTGCACCGAGAGAAGGGCTCGGGGACATGAAGTACGCTCCCCTTCTGTGACATGCCACCAAAACAGGAGGAGAAAAGAAAGAAAAGTGAAGCGGGGAGGGGAACCGTTGCCACGCGTCCTTTTCTCCGAGAAGGCTGCTTACCACGCCACTGAGGCGCGCCGTGTGCTTCGCGAGGCCCGCTGGACTCGATTGGGGAGCCGTGAGTGACGGTGCGTGAGAGTGTGGCGGATGCGTTTCCCAGACGTCCCCAGAGGACCCTCTGGCCATTGGGACTGCGCGGAATGCGGGAGTCCGCGGGGACATTTGCACGTTTTGTTTTTATTCCTCCATCCGCCCCTCCCAAACCTCAACACGGCGGCTGATCCAACGACTGCGACGGGATCCGTTGCGTATTTCTGGATCTCTCTTGCGTTGCAGCGACAGGCTTGGTGTGTCCTGCTTGGCAGACACGGTGGACGGAAGTGGGCTGCCCTATCGGGAAAACGATGGTCACGGTGGAGCGTGTTGCGTACGTCGCAATTTGGCGTGTCTGTGGCGATCCTTGCGGATGGTGTGACGGCGCCTCTTTTACTTGCGGGGATAGAAGCGATGCTCCACGGTGGTGCACACGTTGCGGGTGGAGGTTTCTCTTGCTGTTGGTTTGTGAACGTTTCTTCTTTCGCTTTTGCCGGAACACCACAGAGGGCGGTGTCTGCGGACAGCAGAGCATTGCGAGGAGGGGCATCACCCGATTTTTGGCGCGATGAGGCGGCTTCTGTGACTTTACGGTGGTTATTTTCAGGACTGAGAGACGATCTTTTGCTGGAATGTATTGTGGGAGACCATCCGCGTTTTTGTTTTTGTTAGTTAACCCCTGACATTTGGTGTCTGCCGTGAAATGGTTGTTGATGTCCTTTTTATGGCGGTGAGATGCATGTTTATTTATTTTATTGGCGAGTGGGTGAATTTTGTTGCGTTCTGCCATGCGGCTTGTTGCTGACGGCACGTGGCCACAGGGAGACGTTATGAGCGCCTCCGACGCGAGGTGCGATTGAGCAATCATCTCCTCCGCTCGCCGGTACACGCTGTTGAGGCGGCGTGATGATAATGAATCGGCCTCTCAGAAAAGCAACGAGAGGACGTTTTCTTTTCCTGCTGCGGTGTACGAGTGAACCTCCAATCCGTGGGTGGGGTTGCTCTGCGTGCCGTATTTCTTTGAATTTCCATGAGTTTTTTACATCGCCATCCACACGCACATGCACGCAATCTCCCTGTTTGCCCTCCTGTGGGCGGGAGACCGAGATGCAGAGAGAAAGTGTGGGCTGTGCCAGCATGTGGCAAAGTCTTTCTTGGGAGGGATTGCGACTGTGTTGTACGTCCTGGCAGGCAGGAATGGGATGAGAGGGGAGCGGCGGGCGAGTAACAACGATCCTGTGCGGGGCAATGCGCAGTGACTAGGGCGAATTGGTATTTGTGTTGACTTTTCAAAGCATTTTTTTTTATTGTGGCAATGGAAAGAAACTTTGGGTGTTGTGTTGTGGATTATTTGCACATGATTCAGCGCGGCAACGCCATTCGCGGAGAAAATGAATGGCATCGGCGTGAGGCTTGTTTTGTGAGCGCGAGATGGTCGGGCAGTGTTCAACGCCCGAGAGGCCGGGAGCAAAGAGGCCTGCACTGCTGCAAGCAGAGGGATGCACGCTCCTGTTGGTGGTAGTGTTGCTGTGGAGCCCTGAATGGCTTGCAGGGAAGTTGTTTCCGCCGCCTCATTATTTTGTTGATTGGTGCTTGCCGCGGCCTTTTGAGGCGGGACGTGGGATGGACCGAGAGAGCGTGTGTCGTGTGACCGTGCTGTGAATTGGTGCCGCCCACGTTTGTGCACATATTTTCGTTTGTGACCGCGTCCTTGCCGCGGCAGTCCACCGGGAGCGTGTGACCGATCACTATTACTTGCGGACTGTTTTGGCAGGAACTTGAATGGCGTTGCCGAATGATGAAATTCCGCTTGCATGTGTGTGTGTGTGTTGGCTTCTTCTGTGACTTGCCGTGCTGTTATTGTTTTTTTTTTGTGTGTGCGATGTTTTTCCATGCTGTTCCTTCCGGATTTTCTTTTTTCCCGCACTTTGCGTGAGTGATGTGCTCTGCTCCTCGCTGACGTGTCTGATTTATTACCGCTGTTGCTGCCTTCTCCAATTCTTGGACAGACACGCTAGGAAGTTAATACCAAGCGCTAATTGCTACTGTGAAATTCGAAGGCACTGAAAGGACCAACAGCACACACACCGCCCACACACACATGTTTATATGCTCTCACGTGTTGCTGTGAAGGCACCCCGCACAGACTACCGTCGCCGCATGACCGGATCCAGCGGAAGGAGGAGGGAAGGAAGAGAGAGTGAGCCGCAGAGGCCCAACATGTCCCGGCGTGTGTTTGATTCCACGGTGCTGCTCCTCCTCGTCGTGATGTGCTGAGCCACCTGTGGAGCTGCGGCCGCATCGACGGGGGAGAATTAAGTGATTGCGCGGTTGCCGTGGGTGGCCTTTATTTTTGTTCCGGGATGAACGCATTTGGAACCGAAGGGTGGGACTGATGCAGGTGGGAGGAGGGATTCGTTTGGATCGCTCGCTCTTGTGGGTGTTTGTAGACTGACGGTTTTCTTTGATGGGGGTTACACGACGCTTAATGATAGGGATGGGGCACCGATTGGGCTTTCTCATGCGGATATTGTGTCGGGCTCCATCTTTTTTGCGTGGAATTCGTCTTTTTTTTGGTGGGTTTAATAATGGCCGGAATACACACATCTCGTTGAGCACAGCGAATATAAAGGGTGGTGTAGGCTCCGCGTCCAATCCCACGGCAATTGAGAGCGGCAATAGGGCGTTTCTCCTTGAAGGAAGCTAGCAAATGTTTGGTACGAATGGTGGGTTCAATTGGGCGTTGAGGGACCGTGATGTTCAACTGGTTGTGGGTGAATTCACGCAGCCCAATGACGGCAGACGGAGCGAGCTGATCCACTGGTGTGAACCCAAATTGCTGTGATCACAGATCATTCCCGAGACTCACGAACGCGGTGCGAATGGATTGAAGGTTTTTTGTGGCTCAGGTGCTTTGAATGGCACGCTTGTGTCCCCGTGATTGCGTATAATGACGAAAAAGACGATTTCTCCATGATCATCTGTTCGACGGACGGCGGCAGAAGCTGAGTGCTTTCAAGGGCATTCTTCCTGCGGACTGCATTGACCTTCTCATTGCCGAGTGGGAGCAGGGACAACTTCTCGTGACTACCCATTGCTATGGGAGCCGGTACTGCAGAGTGCACGAGTCACGTGACAAGGGGACAATGTGGGTGGAAGTACCCGGGGCAATTGCAGGCGTATGGGCCAATTCACAATCGGTTCGTTGGGGCATGAGCTTGCGTGTGGGAGCCATTGTCACTGCGACCGTTGGAGGAAAGAGCGTCATGCTGTAGGCTTGGGAAGTGAGCTCCCCGTGGTGGGAGAGTGAGGCCCATGCGCTCTACGTTTGGGTGACTGACAGCAACCGCGTGTTTTGTGTTGGACCGGCTTACATGGACGCTGCTGTGAATAAGCTGATTGCCAACGCCCTGCTGTACTCGGATGGTGCGTTGTACCTTGTGGGAGCGAGGCACAATGAAGAGAAAAGCAGCCTGTTTCCTGCCTCCCCTGATGGAGGAGCTGCAGATGATCACTTCCATCCTCCGTAATTGGGCGGACGTGAACGCTTCCTTCTTCGCGTCGCCCGTAAGTACGGTGGGTCTGGTTGGATATCTTTCCAACGCAGGCACTTCCAACACGTGGATCGACGATTGCCGTTGCGTGATTGCAACGGTGACGAATGAAAATAATGTCACAAGTGGGCTTCAATTCGCAGGGCAACATTGCCCCGTGAACCGTTGGGAGGATAATAATCACTGTGGCTTCGTGAATTACGACTTCGCTCTTGTGGCGACGGTGGCTATTCGCGAGACAAATGCAGGCGTCAAGAGTATCTATTTGATTGGCGCGAAGGGAGCAGACTGTACTGTGCACTTTTGGCTGTCGCACAGCCATGAAAGGAGTTGGTGATGCTCAACGCAAACAAACACACCGGCCTTTGGGAGTTGAACAAACAATAACGAGTTATGCTCACGCTGCAGGACCGGCAACAAGGCCTTCGTATAGATCAATGGTGAGTGTGTGTGGGATGCTGAAACGACATCATCATCGGGAAAGGGGCCACGCACGAATTCACACCTTTACATTGGAGGGGATGAGAGCAGTGCAAGCGACACCGGGAGCCAAAACAAGTATGTGACAGTGACGAGTGTCTTTCTGTACAACCGCATATTGACCCGGGAAGAAGCCGCAAAAGTTGGTGCCAGCAACCTTGCTCTTCCAGAGTCTCTTTCAGGGAAAATGCTTGAAGGGCCGGATGATCCAGCGGGAACTGGCAGTGGCTCCAACGATGGAAACGCCTCTCAGCTCACAAACAACACTTTTTTGGAGAAGGGCTTTAGTGGCTACGGCACGGTGCGTGTGTGTGTGTGTCTCGGATCTTGTTGCTTCTCCTTCTGGGGCTCTGGGCATTGCAGCTCCCAGCTGTGTGAAACGGTGGGAGTGGAGCCGCGACTCCCCGTGGAAAAGGGTGTGCAGCTCCTCAGGAAGACTCAATGCACTCCGTTGAGGACTTTTTAAATCCCTTTTGTTTTCTCCTCTGGATATAATGTGCTGCTGGTGCCTTGTTGGAGGGGTCAGAACCTCTGTCTTTTTACTATTTTTTTAATTTATTTTTTGTTTGTCGCTAGCTGCACACACTCATGAGTGACGTGCTTCCCCCTGTTTTATTTGCTTTTGTTTCACCGCACGCGGTGCCGGCCTCATTGCTGTGCAGTCCCGCGGACTGTACAAAACGAGGGGTGGAGGAAGAGGCCGAGTGCCTCATGAAATGTGAGGGATTTCGTGTGGACACGTGGAACACTGCGATCTTTTTTTTCTCCTCTGTAAGAAACATATGGAGATGCACAATTCCTGCTGCGCTGAGGGATATAAGAAATGAAATTCCACCGAGGTGATTTCTTTTTTTTTCTTTATTATTTATTTATTTATTTATTTCTGCTGAAACTACGCCTTTTTTCTTGTTTTTCTGTATTTGGCAATTTGCTGTGTTGAATGCTACTATGTGTCTTTGTGTCCCATTGGGTGTCCCACTGCTAGCGGTGCAGTTGACACTTCCTCATCACTTTTTCTTTTCTGCTAGAAGCATCGATGGTCCGCGACGACGATCGTTTGTGTTCCCCCATTGCGATTGTGCGAGGGTGACTGGGCGCCCTGATGAGTGCGTTCGGAGGGGAGCGGATGTTGTGCGCCGTGCCTCACTGTGAGTGTGGGACGCCACCCACCACGACCTGCTGTGAGGCGTAACGCTATTCCTTCGGGGAAGAGGTAAGTAAAGGACTGTGGTGAACTTGGATGCGCCTCGCTCCTCTTGTTGCGGCTGTGGGTGTGTGCTGTTCGCATTGCTGTTTTGCGGTACGATGTGGATGGCGGTGCTTCTGCGTGTGCCTTCTTGAATGCACTGTGCGGCGGGCTTCTCTTCTCCTTGTCCTTGCCCTTTTGTGAGTGGGGGGTGAGTGCGGGTGGCTGTCGACCTGCCCGAGCATTGGGGTCCTCCACACACGTGAGGCTCATCTTGGCAACCTCTCGCAGCGTCCATGCCTCGTGACAGGGAGCGAGGGAAGAGCGGCGTGTTTCCTACTATAGACCCATCAATTCCGAGCAGTTGGAGTGAAACTAAAGGGAACAAGTGTGTGTGTCTTCACCTTCTTGCGGGAGGACGCGCAGAGGTTGGATTTTTTTTGTTAATTTGT